CTTTGGCATATGCCCAGGCTGTTAGATGTGGATTCGCTGCTGCATCTATGACCCTGGTTTCCCCACCCACCACCCCGTGGGTGTATCATAATTCATATTATCTCTTCCTCCAACTAGATCGTCCAAAATTAGTAAAAGCATATCACCACATTGTTGGGAATGTAACATAGAGGTAGGGACCTATTATCACATCTGGTAGAAATGTATAAAAGCAAAAAAAAAAAAAATACTGGTAGAAAATAAAGGTTTGGATAGAAGAGGTGGTTAACCACAAAGTAGAGTTCAGACTAGAACAGTTCTTACTGGAAATTATTAATAAGAAATACAATAAAGGAATAATATATTTAATGATACATATAGTAACAGCTGCGAGATTGGTGTATGCCCAAAACTGGAAGAATGAAGATACCCCTACAGAAAGTGAAAAAATAATAAGAAAAAGATTAAGTCTGTGCAGAGATGGACAGACTAACTTTAGAAACCAAAGATAGGGGTGAGACAGAGTATTATGAAGTCTGGAGTAAAATGTATCAACGGTTAGCTAGAATCAGGAAAAAAGAAATAGGAATGAAAGTTAAAAGTTTTGTAAACCAAAGAGAATGGAATATAATGGAGAAATACAAGATGATACGGAAGCATGAGTATGAAAGTTGCTTGTAAATATGTATATAATTGTGGATAAATGTAGATCAATGTAAATAGAAATAATATGCAGCCGGCATTATACTAATAACATAATGGAAAAAGGAAATTAACTGTTATGTGTATCTTTAGACTATAGCTTGCATGGCCAAAATGATGGTCAAGAAAGTCGCACTGTGTTGAATTGTTTTTAACGTTTATTCAATAAAATTTATTTTAAAAATAATAATAATTCGTATTCTTCAATGGGACACATCCATAGCCCAGGGTCATCAATCATGTTCTCTTGTTAGAATTTTGTGGGGTGGAAACTTCAGTCACCTAGTTACTATCTTTGAAAAGCTATGTATGGAGTGCACTTTCGGTTTCCAAGCTGTCACGCTGCTCTTTCAAACCCCTCTCCCCCCTCCCTTTCTGTTGACAACTGTAAACAGACCATAGGAATATTTTATGAGTTGACACATGGAAAGAGTTACTCCCAGCCAGGGGTGCCTCCCAAAGTCCAAAAAAGCCATTGCCCCATCTCTTTATAGGCTAAATCCTCTACTTATGACCCACTAGAGATAGCCCCAAATTTCTATCTTTCAGCGAGACATCTGTCAAATGAAAGATCATTTTATGACCTTTCTTGACCCCGTTGTTAAGTGAATCATTGCAGTCGATAAGTAGTTCAGGGAATCGACCTTTCCTGATCCCGTTGTTAAGTGAATCATTGCAGTCGATAAGTAGTTCAGGGAATCGAC